CACAATTGATTTGCAAATTTTGTTCCTTTTCGATGATGCTGATAATATGTGGTAGTGTCCTGTGCAATTTTGCATGTTTCCTTTTGCAAGTGCCAAGCAGATAAATGGATTTTTATAAGTCTCTGGTAGCTTCATTTGTAACAGAGCTTGTCTTTTCTGTACTTAAATTATCATCTTTACACCGTATTTATATAAATATCTACAACTTTGTTGAGTTCAGTATAGATTCAGTACTTTTTTATGATTTTTGGTATTTTCTTAGTGTATTTGGTTGGTATCTGTTTGGTATCAGTTTCCAAAAATGACTTAAATTGATATCACATATGTATAAATTTTAGATAATATCTTGATTGAATCGCGTTGAGTTAAATCATGAGTTGAGTCATTCCCTGAATCACTGATAATGGGATGAGTCGTGATTGAGTTGAATCACAGGGTCCATGAGTCGTGATTGAATCGCTTGGAAAATCAGACTGTTTGATTGAGTTATGATTGAATCGGTCATTTCATCAAGTGAGTCGTGATTGAATTGATTGAATTTTTTTGAATCGTTTACAAGTCTGCACAGGGGTCGAAAAAGTCAAAATGGCGGCACTAGATATGGAGAGTTTTTCTCGAATAACTTTCGAATTAGTCAAGATAGGAACAAACTAAGGGCATCATCGTGATCCTCTCGTCAATCCGCATCGAATGATATATATGTTGACCTCGAAAGGTCAAGGTCAAAGGTTGACCTCAGGTCACGTGACCTAGAGGTCATCATGTATATCATTCGATGCGTCTTGACGAGCTGAACACAATGAGACCATCCACGCGTCTGTATCTTGTTCCTGTACGGAGTTATTGGCCAAAAAACCTTTGGTGACCTTTGATGACGTCACATGACCTCACAGCTGCCCAACAGCAAAACAGACCTCAAGGTAGTGAAGGTTGATCGTATATGAAGTCATGTATGGTATATGGGGCCATTCCGACCCGTTTTAGTGGTAAAAACAGGGAGTTGATTTTTCCCCCATTGACTTATAATGGGGAGGTCGCGAAATTGACCTGACCTTAGGTCACCGATATCAAAATTCCGAGATATACAAATTGCACATACTGGTACCCTAACTAAACCCTGAAGAGAAGAAATTGATCGGTCAAAAACTCTAGCTCTGGCGTGGTTGCAAACTTTTCTGAGGTAGCGTCACCAAACCGCCTCTGGTGACCTGACCTGAGGTCAGATCAACTCAAAATTTTCAGACATGTTGCGTAGAAGCCTTTTAGGAAAAGTCAGAAAATTTGAGCTTCCTAGCTCAACGCGTTTGGGAGATATAACCAAAAAACCTCAGGGGGGGGGGCTCCTGAGGCCCCCCCCGCCAGGAATAGGGTTAAGTGATTTCGTCATTATTTTTTACGCTCTTTCGAACGCCGCCTTCCGCGTATCGCTACGTGGCCCAGGAGCCGAGTTACAAGGGGGGTGTTCAAACACCCCCCCCCCCCCAGCAGGGCGTGGAAATCCAGGACCCCCAGCCGGGCGCGGGTTAAAGTCAGTGGCATTTTTCAAAATGCTCAGAGTAACCCTCTTTTTGATTCATATTATATAAAATGTGGCCAGTAACTTACATTATGATGCATATCATTTGAATCCTCATTGACTGTAGAAAATTAATCAATCAAAATATTTTGAAAATTTTCCAAATCTGAACATTTTTTTAGTAATACGTTTTTGATTTTTCATTTTTAAAATGTGGCCATTAAAGTTTTGACAAAAAGATTACACCAAAAGATGCCTCTGGATATGGAAATTTAATGTAAAAAATTTGGAGAGGTGTTTTGCCTTTAAGTTTTTATATTTTTTTTATTTACGGCAATGTTTAGGGTAAAAGGGAACATTTGGTGACACGTTCCGAAACCAGTCATTCTCCTACCCTCATGCCCTCGAAATAGGTTATGAAAATTGGAAATAAAAGCCTGGAACTCACACTCACACAACCGGCATACGATTATTCAATGATCTTTGCTTCACTTTCATTTCACTTTCGCTTCACTTTCGGGCATTGTTCAAGGTCAAGAAAGTTAATTTAGAGCCGAACACCGATGTGTGCTGCCTTGCATGTAATTCTGACGCGCTTCTATGCAGCTTGCTCTGATAAAAGGCTAGGAATTATCAAAAATGCAAATCGGACGTTGTGGGCGGACATGCAAAAAAAAAAAAAAATCCGTTCATAACAGCCGAGGCTGTGTTAGGGTCAAGTGAGGAGAAGGCTCGCCCTAGTAATCGCATGAAGTTCGCTCTGTCCATGTAATAATGAGCTTTCAGTGATTTTGCTTATTGAATATGCCACACACAAAATATATGCAGACAAAAGTGCGGCATTTGGAAGTAACTCATTGCAATTGCCAGGGGCGTGACCAGGTCAGAGAGGGTAGAGGTAACAAAATTACAAGTACCTACGTGAAAACTGGCCGAGATTGTATTGTGTTCCTGGAACTGGAAGCATCTCTAACGTTTTGGATTAACGTATTTCAAGGTATTAACCCTCGCCCGTAAACGGCGATCTGCCACCTTCGCCCATGCAGGGGGGGGGGGTTGGTGCGACCCCCCCCCCTTGGCGTTTGAAAACGGAGCGTCGTAGAGCTTAGCGGAAAAGATCAACGGATTGCTCTCGCCGAGATCTCGCGATTGGTGGTATATTTTTTGGTCCTAGGTCAACATTTGACCTACTTTTGACCGGTCAAAGGTCAAATTTTCGGAAAAATAGACTTTTTCAAATTTTCCGCGGCGATTGCGGCAAAACGGTGGGAGATGTCGACTTGAAACCTTCACTATCGTGTTCCTTGATCAATTCTCTATCGTTTGGTATGTATTTCGTTTCCCTAGCTCTAAAAATGGCGCGTTGGGAGCGCCGGAAGTCGGCAAGGTCACAGTCGGCGGCAGAAATTCGAAAAATCAAAATTTAAATTTTTGAAATCTGATTGTATTTTTGGATTTGGGATGTCCATTTGCTCCCTATAGAAGCTAATATTGCTGCATATTCCCATTGAGGTGACAAGAATTAGCAAAATAGTGGTTCGGGCGCTTTTCAAAAATAGTACCGGACGCTGTTCCTCTTGTGACGTCATAGCTCCGTGACCTGACCTGACCCGGTCAAGTTTCTTATACCATATGATAGCCAATACTTGCCCCAACATGCATGGGAAGTTTCATCACGATCCATCAACCGATGTCCGTACCACCGGCAGGAAACCTCGGGCGTTGGCACTCAGTTTGTGAAAATCCGGCCGGAGGCTGTTCCCTTTGTGACGTCATAACTCCGTGACCTGACATGACCCGGTCAATTTTTTTTAGCAAAAGATGCGCAAGGTTTGCCCCATAAGGTACCCAAAATTTGGCGGCGCTGCGCGCCGCCGTTTTTGCACTATTTCCGAAAAACCTTAGGGGGGTTGCACCCCCCCTACATGGGCGAGGGTTAACCCGCGCACCGACGGGGGGGCGGATATCCGCCCCCCTGAGGTTTTTCGCGAATAGCGGGAAAACCGCGGCGCGTAGCGCCGCGAAATTTGGTATGACTATTCCCTTATCAATTTTACACATGGTGTGCAAGTTTGAACCTCCTACCTTTCAAGGTCAGGTCACTAGGTCACTTTGAATGACCCAACCTCAAGTCACTTTTTTGCAACTTTGTCACCGTGCCAGAGCTACAGTAGATGTCGGAGGCCTTTGAAAGTCGCAGGATGTTATTAGGTCATTAGTAGCTACAATTTGTATATCTCGGAATTTTGATATCGGTGACCTAAGGTCAGGTCAATTTCGCGACCTCCCCATTATAAGTCAATGGGGGAAAAATCAACTCCCTGTTTTTACCACTAAAACGGGTCGGAATGGCCCCATATACCATACATGACTTCATATACGATCAACCTTCACTACCTTGAGGTCTGTTTTGCTGTTGGGCAGCTGTGAGGTCATGTGACGTCATCAAAGGTCACCAAAGGTTTTTGGCCAATTACTCCGTACAGGAACAAGATACAGACGCGTGGATGGTCTCATTGTGTTCAGCTCGTCAAGACGCATCGAATGATATATGATGACCTCGAGGTCACGTGACCTGAGGTCAACCTTTGACCTTGACCTTTCGAGGTCAACATATATATCATTCGATGCGGATTGACGAGAGGATCACGATGATGCCCTTAGTTTGTTCCTATCTTGACTAATTCGAAAGTTATTCGAGAAAAACTCTCTCCATATTTAGCGCCGCCATTTTGACTTTTTCGACCCCTGTGACGTCATCTTTGACCTGACCTGAAAATGACCTGTGTAAAAATTGTAGATCTTGACCGTGCGTATCCGATGCCGTTTACCGCTTGTCGCTATCTTGCTTCGTTCTCGAGATCTCAGGGGGGGCGGTCATCCGCCCCCCCCCGTCGGTACTAAGGGTTACAGGACAATTTGCCGAACTGCATTTTGCCGAATGCTTATTCGCCGAATGTCAATATGTCGAATGCATTTTGCCGACGTGTCTTTTTGCCGACGTGTCAAAAGGGCGAAGTGCTAAAAGTCGAAATGCAATTTGCCGACATGCCTTTTTGCCGACGTGCAATAAGTCGAAAATGTCAATTTGCCGAAATGTCAATTTGCCGAAAAGTCAATTAGTCGAAATGTCAATTCGCCGAAATGCTAATTTGCCGAAATGTTATTAGTCGAAATGTTAATTTGCCGAAATGTCAATTTGCCGAAAATTCAATTAGTCGAAATGTCAATTCGCCGAAATGCTAATTTGCCGAAATGCTAATTAGTCAAAATGTAAATTTGCCGAAGTGTCAATTAGTCGAAATGTCAATTTACCGAAAAGTCAATTAGTCGAAATGTCAATTTGCCGAAATGCCAATTAGCCGAAATTAACCTAACCTAACGTGACCCGTAAGTATTAACTTTAGGACCGACTCGCTTTTCAAAGGTAAAAAAAAAACACACTTTACACTTACATGTCACCAAAGTATAAGAAAAACATAACCAAACCTTACCTAGCCTGACATACTGATTTTTGCCTACCCGTGGATAAGGAAGAAGATACTCACATGAATAGATTGCAGACAATGATAAGTCAATTATTTTTAGGTTAAGTGGTTGTGCATCAGGCTTCAGGCCGAAGGCCTGAAGCCAGATACACAACAATTTAACCCTCACCGGACCTATTGGTTTTCTACATACGCGCCGGCCGAGGTGGTAATTGCTGAAAGGCGATTTGCCGAATGTCATTTTGCCGAATGCATTTCGCCGAATGTCATTTTGCCGATGTGCTTTTTGCCGACGTGTCAAAAAGTCGAAATGCCATTTGCCAACATGCCTTTTTGCCGAAATGCTTATTAGTCGTTTCGCCCCTGGTGGAGCTGGCGCGTCGCGGAAAAAACGAGCGTGTGCGCCGTTATGAGACGCAGAGATTGATACCTGTTTTAAGGTACTACGTCAACCGGTGACCTCTGAGGTCAGGTCAAATGCCCCAAGGTGGTTCAGTTTTTGGCGAATAACTTAGCCAAAAACAGCCGCGATTTTGGCAGCATCGTGTTTGCCTTGCTTAGGCGCGTCAAATGATATAATTTTTGTTTGGGTCAGGTCAACTTAGGGTGTTGACCTCAGGTCACGGTCAGGTCAGCACCCCAAGATCATGAAGTTGGTGGAAAGAGGTCATGTCGCATATCATTCGATTCTGCAGGTCTTCCTGAGTCCATTGGTGGCTTTCCCGACTCGATAGCTCAATTTGATCGGGAGTTATTGACGAAAAACTAATATGACTTTGATGACGTCATAAATGACGTCACGCAAGGTCAACATTGCAAAAGTTACGCATCTTACCTTGCAAGAAAGGCGTCAAATCACGATTCTGTGTGCTTGAGATAGTTAGAGGTCGTTCCCGGCGCCAGAATAGCAGTTTTCATTTTTCTTCTTGACTTATAATGGTGAGGTCACGAAAATGACCTGACTTCAAATAACCTTTAGGAAAATCTGAGATATACAAGCTTTGAGACTCGTAATGGATATTAGGTCCTGCATGTTTCATTTCCCTGTGAAAGCTCCTCTGGCCGTGAGGGCGTTGCGAAGTTGCGACATCTGAAGACCTTGCAGAGGTTCACTTATGACGTCATAGGTCGGTGACCTGACCTGACCCGAAAATGCGGTTGGTGTAAAAAGATCCGACTTGAATCAAAGGTCAGCTATGCCACGTTTCAGCTCTCTATCGCCAGCGTGTTCGGAGCTATCGCGAAAAACCCTATGGGGGTGCGGCACCCGCACCCCCCTTGGCCGGCGAGGGTTAACCTGAAAATATTTGACTTACCTTTGCCTGTAATCTCTCCTAAGGCATTGCCTTCGGCACTGCACTGCTTCGCCACGAGCAATTTGATGTTTATTTCCACATGGTATTGGTGCTTTTAACCCGCGCACCGACGGGGGGGGGCGGATATCCGCCCCCCCCTGAGGTTTTTCGCGAATAGCGGGAAAACCGCGGCGCGTAGCGCCGCGAAATTTGGTATGACTATCACCTCATCAATTTTACACATGGTGTGCAAGTTTGAACCTCCTACCTTTTAAGGTCAGGTCACCAGGTCACTTTGAATGACCCAACCTCAAGTCACTTTTTTGCAACTTTGTCACCGTGCCAGAGCTACAGTAGATGTCGGAGGCCTTTAAAACTCACAGGATATAATTAGGTCATTAGTAGCTACAATTTGTATATCTCGGAATTTTGATATCGGTGACCTAAGGTCAGGTCAATTTCGCGACCTCCCCATTATAAGTCAATGGGGGAAAAATCAACTCCCTGTTTTTACCACTAAAACGGGTCGGAATGGCCCCATATACCATACATGACTTCATATACGATCAACCTTCACTACCTTGAGGTCTGTTTTGCTGTTGGGCAGCTGTGAGGTCATGTGACGTCATCAAAGGTCACCAAAGGTTTTTGGCCAATAACTCCGTACAGGAACAAGATACAGACGCGTGGATGGTCTCATTGTGTTCAGCTCGTCAAGACGCATCGAATGATGTACATGATGACCTCGAGGTCACGTGACCTGAGGTCAACCTTTGACCTTGACCTTTCGAGGTCAACATATATATCATTCGATGCGGATTGACGAGAGGATCACGATGATGCCCTTAGTTTGTTCCTATCTTGACTAATTCGAAAGTTATTCGATAAAAACTCTCTCCATATCTAGCGCCGCCATTTTGACTTTTTCGACCCCTGTGACGTCATCTTTGACCTGACCTGAAAATGACCTGTGTAAAAATTGTAGATCTTGGCCGTGCGTATCCGATGCCGTTTACCGCTTGTCGCTATCTTGCTTCGTTCTCGAGATCTCAGGGGGGGGCGGTCATCCGCCCCCCCCCCCGTCGGTACGAAGTTGGCGCAGACCCCCGTCGGTGCGCGGGTTAAACTTGCTTGTGCCATGAATACCTAATTATTAGTTATGAAATCAGGAGGTCAAAGGATACCTATCATGTGATTTGCTTCTTACTTGGGGATTGCACCAAAAGTAAATTGGTGATCGGTCCTAAGTAAATAAACACCACCTAACCTAACCTAACCTAACCTAACCTAGGTTTGCAGATTGACATTTCGGCGAAGTTATATTTCAACTAATTGACATTTCGGCAAACTGCCAATTCGGCAGATTGATATTTCGGCAAATTGACATTTCGGCAAATTGACATTTCGGCAAATTGACATTTCGGCAAATTGACAGTTCGGCAAATTTACATTTCGACTAATTGACATTTCGACTAATTGACATTTCGACTAATTGACATTTCGACTAATCGACATTTCGGCAAATCGCATTTCGGCAAATTTACATTTCGACTAATAAGCATTTCGGCAAATTGGCATTTCGGCAAAAAGGCATGTCGGCAAATGGCATTTCGACTTTTAGCATTTCGACTTTTTGACACGTCGGCAAAAAGCACATCGGCAAAATGACATTCGGCGAAATGCATTCGGCAAAATGACATTCGGTAAATCGCCTTTCGGCAAATTGTCCGGACACCGGTACTAAGTTGGCGCAGACCCCCGTCGGTGCGCGGGTTAAGTGGCTTGGGAGTTGGGATGCTCCATGTTTCACTAACATTCACTTTCATAGTATTTTTATTCCCACCTGGCCGAAGGGGAGGGTTTGATGTGCAGCCCCAACGGTTTTCTCGAGATCGTTTGCAACGCGGTAAGGCTGGAGAGCTGAAATTTGACAAGCCTACCTGTACCTGAACATTGGCTTAAGCCGGATTTTTTTACGCCAACATAATTTTGAGGCTGAGGTCAGCTTACTGACCTATGACGTCACAAATAAATCTCGGAACGATGCAAGAAGTTGCAGCTTTACAGCGCCCTCAGTGAACCTTTTGCAGGGGATGAAACAAGTAACGGCATATAGTAACGGCTCTTGAGATTTCACATCAATTCCTCCAACTTTCCTAACTTTCACCCGAGTTCAAGCTGGTCACGTGACTTCACTATTACAAGTCAATGGGAAATATTGAAACATTTGAAACTGTTATTTTGACGCCGGAAACGATCGAAGCCTATAATCAATTATCAAACACCTGTAATCGTGAGTTCATACACTTTGCAAAGAGCGATTCTTAGGTTTTGCATTGAGGACCTTCCATGACGTCGTATATGCTGGTACTTTGTATGGTCGTTTGAGGTCATCGTTTTTCTTTTTGTCAATAAATTTGAATGGAATTAATCTCGCGAGTCGAATAAGCCACCAGTGTGTGAACTCACGGAACCCTGCTGAACCTTAACACTAATATAACCGAAGTCAACTTGCAACCCAAATTGCTTCAAATACAGAAAGAGATCGCGCACTGGCGTAGAAGAAATTTAACAGTTCTGGGGCGAATAACCGTAGTCAAATCGTTACTGATATCGAAGTTAGTCCACTTGTTCACAGCCTTGCCAAATCCACCTAAAAAAGACCTTAAAAATTTAAATAAGTTACTATATCAGTTCATATGGGCGGGTAGGCGAGACCCCATTAAACGTGCCAAGCTCATCCAAAACTACACCAATGGAGGGTTATCTATGATCGATATCCAAGCGTTCGTTAACAGCATGAAGCTCACATGGTTGAAGAGACTCATGCAAAGTCAGGCTCAATGGACAAAAGTTTCGGTCTTGGAATTACCCAAACCAATCCAAGAAATAATGTCCCACGGAAGCAAATTTATAAGGAAAATCAAGGTGAAAGTTACAAACCACTTTTGGAAAGACGTGTTAGAAGCGTTCGAATTTTTTACCCGAGAACACACCTCCGACACAGAAGAAATACTGTCTGAAAGCATATGGTTTTCGGATTACACAAAATTCACGGGATCGATGATAAGAAGTTGGCACTCAAGAGGAATACGCTTCATTTATGATTTATTCGATGAAAATACAGGACATCTTCACACCAAAGAAAGTTTAGAAAAAGCATACAACATTAAGATGACATTTCTCTGTTACGCGAGCCTGGTAAGAAGCTTACCTGATTCAATAAAAAACGCCTCAATTAAGAAAAGATCTGAACCAAACATGCCGCCAAGGATGAACTTGGCACTAAATCACACTTATTTCACACGCTTCGCCTACATGCAATTCGTGATCCATAGGCAAAAGGAAATAAAAGATGCAAATGAACGTCTAGAGCAAAAGTGGCTCAGGGATGTAGGTTGCTTCGAAGCTAGCAGTTTTGTCGAAGCCGTCAATGCTACGAACTCAAGTTACAACAGAATGTTTCAATATAAAATTGTAAATCGCATCACAGTTACCAACAAATACTTGCGGATGATCAATGTGAAAGAAAGCGAAAACTGTACTTTCTGTAATGCTGAGCCCGAGACAATATCATACTTATTTTGGTACTGTCCCATAACAAAAGAATTTATCACGGCAGTGAAAACTGAACTTCTAAACAAGTACAACGTAAGTGTAAGTGTACATTTAAAAACATGGTTATTTCCCACAGATTTACCAGCCAGGGAAACATTGATATTCACATTAGCAAAAATAGCAATATACAGAGCGCGCTGCAAAGATAGCACACCACACATCACACACTGGATGAACATGTTAAAACAAGAAATCGAAACAGAAAGCAAAGTTGGCGAGTTGCTCGGCAAACAAAATAACTTTCAAGAGAAATGGGGAGCACTTAGGCATATCAATGCTTAAACAGTGAAGACTGTATTAAAAATGAATAGGACATGAAGAAAAAAAACACATACACACACACATACACAACACACAAACACACTGCACAGTCACATGAACACATTACCGCCACCTATACTCTTATAACACAATACACATTGGCACCCCCTCATAGTATCCCAAACCCTGATATTCTCCTTCCTTCGATCAAGCTAGCGAGCGCGTCGGCCGCTGTACGGCGTTGGCGGTTGTCGCGCGATTTATCTCACGAGACCGTTTCCAAGGTCTCCACGTTGCCGCCAGTGTAGGAGTTCCCTACAGCCGCGCACACCTGCTGCGCATGTGTCGGTGCGACATTGCTTATGTATACTCGTATATCCGCGCACACACGCTGCGCAGTGCGCATGTCTCACGTTACTAGATAGACCGTCTAGCGCATGCGCGTAGTTTTAGTATACCGTCTAACGTCCGTGTGTGCTGTACATTAGTAAAATCTGAAATTTGTAAATACAGCGCAAAACGCATGAACCTCCTCCGTGCGCTCACAGGCACAGACTGGGGCGGCGACCGAAAAAACCATTTTGCAACTATACAAGGCCATCATCAGACCCATTTTAGAGTACTGCAGTATAGCTTATCACGGAAGCCTAACAGATCACCAGATAAAACAAATAGAAGCCATCCAGAACACATGTCTGCGCATTGCAACCGGGGCCATACCCAGTACACGAAACGCGACACTTCTGGCCGACGTCAACATGTTGAATTGCCAGGAAAGACGTATGCAACAACTTTGCCGATATGCCATTAACGTTAAAACAACTCCGAACCACCCAGTGCAACACTGCTTCCGGCCGATAAGCAGACTCGGATGTCATAGACATTCCCGATTACGACACCCATCACTAAATGAACAGTTGAGCACCTGCTTATCTAAACTGCAATTTACTTTACCGGATCTGGCACCCAGGCCTCGAGCAAAACCCTTCTGGCTAAAGGCACCACCCAAAATCGAATATCTTTTCTCTGGAAACAAATCAGACATCACACCAACAGAAATGCAGTCGAAATTTAACGAATACAAAGCACAGCGCCCAAACAAAACATTCATGTACACTGACGGCTCAAAACAGGAACACAAAGTAGCTTTTGCACTGACGACTCCACACTTTGAATTAAGCAGACGTTTACCGGATAACTTCTCCATTTTCACAGCTGAGGCCATGGCCCTCTTATTCGCCGTCAAATTATGTACCCATGAAAAGCTTAGTAACGTAGTAATCTGCACAGACTCAAAATCAGTCTTACAAGCCCTGAGTAACACCACAAGCCCAACACATTTCATCATTTCTAGCATTCAAAATTCTGTCCCTGAAAAACGAAATATTAAATTTCTTTGGATTCCTGGACATGCTTCTATCTCTGGAAACGAAAAGGCAGACAAACTAGCAAAGCAAGCATTGCATCTAGCAGAACCACTTGCAATACAGTACCCGGCAGACGACTGCAAGGCCATCCTCGAACTTCACATACAACAACTACGACAAACGACATGGGACGAGATAGGACCAGCACACATGCACTCAATCAAACCCCGATTAGGCTTCTGGGCGACCTCAAAACAAAACACAAGGCAAAAGGAAGTAATGCTCACCAGACTTAGAACCGGACGCACCAGACTCAACGCACCATGGCTAGAACCACAACAATATAACATTTGTGCCTTCTGCAATGTCAACACAGTGCCTACAGTTCAACACATCCTGCTAGAGTGCTCTCACTTCAACCTCCACCGACAACACATCATTGCCTTCTGTCGGCAGGAGAACGTAACGTTGAGCTTAGATCAGCTTTTAGGTGACAGACACCCAGAGCTATTAGCACTTCTCTTCAGATATTTACAAGACACTAAGCTAACAGGAGCACTCTAAAGCACACATAAACGAACAGTTAAGTGCCGTGCCCAACATCTCAACAGTAGACTTAGCGGTAATCACACTCGAGAATTCTCCTGGCTCCGCTGGGCGCTGGTCCAAGCTTGGTGCCAGTTACGCCGGCTGACACCCAGTACACCACTAAACCGTGCGCTGGTCCAAGCTTGGTGCTAGATACGCCGGCTGATACTCACAACACCACTCAGCCGGGCGCTAGTCCAAGCTTGGTGCCAGTTACGCCGGCCGACATTCACCACACCACTCAGCCGTGCGCTGGTCCAAGCTTGGTGCCAGTCGCGCGCAGACAGGAGAGATTCAAAATTAAGAGAGGCCAACTGGTCTTCACCTCTTCAAAGTTGTTAAATGGCCATGCAGTCTTGTCCTTCAGACAATAATTATTTAGGCCCATGCACCACCCGGCATTGTAGGGTGAACGCGACACCCGGCGTGAGAGGGGGTGTGGGGATTGCCTCCTAACCCGCACGATAAAGAACCCATGGTGTAGTTCGTGAAGAGTAGGCCATGTGCCGGCACCATGGCAAAATTAATCCCAAATCGAATTTATTGTCTTGATGGAGGACAAAATGGTATCTTAACAACCCTTTAAAGTAACTATAACGTAAAACTAATTCTAACAGTAGGTAAAGTAAGTCCCAGGATCCCACTCACCTCCCAAGAAACCCACAACGCGTTACCGAGCACTTTAAAGGTCAAAATTTTAGAACTCACACACTTAATTGAAGTAAATGAGCACTTGCAATATCAAAATTCAAGCAATTCGATATTTTTCTAGCAAACAGATTCTTTACAGGCGGCCGAATGTCCAATGGACAGGGACGCCTTAAAACCTCATTTTCACTCTTTGTAAATACACTTCTCTACTCATCAAACCAAGGCTTTGGAGGAAGACGGAAGACGAGGAAGCGAGGGCGACATGAAGAGCCCTGGTGGCTGACGAGTGCTCGGAAAGGAACACGTTTCCCGATCACCACGATCGGATGACTGTAAACTGGGACGACCTTCACACACCTCAGTTTACACGGAGTTCCCTACAGCCGCGCACACCTGCTGCGCATGTGTCGGTGCGACATTGCTTATGTATACTCGTATATCCGCGCACACACGCTGCGCAGTGCGCATGTCTCACGTTACTAGATAGACCGTCTAGCGCATGCGCGTAGTTTTAGTATACCGTCTAACGTCCGTGTGTGCTGTACATTAGTAAAATCTGAAATTTGTAAATACACGTCAGTTCGCGCCGGCAGCAAGTGCAGCAGCGAAAGGGTGAAGCCGCAGGAAGAAGAAGCAGCAAGCGTTCGAGATACGGCACCGGCAAAGCGTTCCATAGGGCTACATCTGACTGACGGAAAGCCGGCTCGGAGCTACCGTTGGATTGAAGGTGTGGTCCGGCGCTGCCCTTGCCGTCTACCTACCAACCGGCGTGACCGGTCACCCTTCCTACGCCTCCCTCTTTCTCCTTCAATTCAGATCCAACTATCCACCACCCAGCCGGGATACCTAACGGTGATACCTCCACGCTTGGGGCCTAAGAACCTGACTTCGGTCGGGTTCGTCAAGCCAGGGCGTAACAGGCTGCGTCTTCTATGAGCAGCTGGAGCTTAACGAACGGCTTTCCAAAACTCACTATCTCTCATCAACCTACCGACCTTGAAATTGCCAAATACAACCACTAAAATTACATCTGTTTAATTTTCTATTCTTTTTTTGCGCCTGATTCTCCACTCTACAAATAACTCTAACAGACATGGACTCATACACCACCACAACACAAGACATCGAACTGCACCATCTCGGCTCCTACGTCGTCGGCCAATACACGGACCCCCGGCTGAATATGGCCAAGGAGTCCGCATTCAAAATAAATCGCACACTCAGAGACATCACAAAAAGCACTACGCTACGCATCACACCCCAGCACAAATGCATCCTCATCAAGACATCCAACGAAACACAGACAAAAGCACTTCTGTCCACCACCACCTTCGCCAATCACGACGCATCCTTCACACTACACCGCACCCTCAACACGACCCGAGCCACTATCCGCACGAACCCACTAGACACACCACTAGCAGTCATCGGAGACGAGTTGGCGTCCCAGGGCGTCAGCTCAATTCGTCGACTGGCTTCCACCCACCACTACACCATCCTGCAACTCACCTTTAACACCACGATCCTACCTCCTCACGTTACACTACAACACTGCCGATACAGCACACGTCTTCACGCGCCACTGCCCCTTCGCTGCAAGAAGTGTCAGCGCTACGGTCACGGAGAACGTGCTTGCACCTCCCGTACTGCACGCTGTGCACGTTGTGGCGAGGGGCATCCGTCAGAGGGGTGCACTCGTCCCTTTCGATGCGCTGCCTGTGACGGATCGCACCCGGTCACTGACTCCAAATGCCCTAAGTGGCTATTTGAGCGGGAAGTGACCAGGTACGCGGCGAGCATGCATGTACCACCAGCCCTTTCACGCACCCTGGTCTCCAAGGCACCAGCAGTACATCTAGCCGAAACATTTAAACACGCAAACGTAACAGGAAGCACCTACGCCTCAGTCGCTTCACGCACCAACGCAAAACTCCAGCCACTAGCACAGCACCCACCGAGCTGTCGCCGACCTGCCATCATCCCAACACCACCTCACCCACCTCGCTGGATCCCCACCAGGGAGGCCCTCCTTCCTACACCGCCCTATCCGCCTCACCCCAGACCGCCACAGGGATGGAGAGTGCCCGGTCCGCTGCCGGGACCCCCGTTCTTGAGGCGGGACTTCCCGCTCCTACCTCCACCTCCACACTGTATACCTCCCACCCACCCTAACCAGCCTCCGTCCACCCGACCCAAGCCTCCAACCCGCACCACTGCAACCTCCACCGGCCCCCCACCAATCACCCAGACCGTCTCCACTTCCACAGACCCTCCTCCTCCACCCACTCTGCGGTCTGTTTACACGCAGACTGACCCTGATCCCCATCCATGCTCTCAGAGCAGCTCCAGCCTATACATCACTCCCTCCAACTCCTCAACCCGATCATCCGCTTCGAACCCAAGTTCAGGCCCAGCCTCAAACACACGGATTCCTCGTCCCATCTCGCCTCCAAAACACGTCCGCTCACGCTCTTTATCTCCCGTTCAGCGAAACATCGAATCCCTCCACCAACCTCTTCCCTCCCCTCTCATGACACGCGCCTCCCGCAAACGAAAGGCGAGGGATCTGGCTGACCAATCCAATCCTACTCCAGTCTCGCACTATGTGTCAGAGACTACTCATATCAACCGCGCAGTTCCCTCTAAATGACGCACTTGCTACAATGGAACACACGCGGGCTACTTACGAAGTGGCCGGAGTTCAAAGGTGAAATTCTCCGAACGAACCCGGTCCTGGCTGCACTCCAAGAGACCCATTTTCGAGATTCAGACCAATGGTTTAAAATCCCAGGGTACACTTGGCATACACATAACGTTAACGAACAAAACAGACGAGGAGGAGCGGCCATCCTCATAGCCAACAGTGTCCCGCACAATAGAGTAGCTATCAACACACCACTCAACTGCGTTGCTATACGTTTAAGGATAGGCTACACACAAGTCACCACACTGTCAATATACATACCACCTTGCCAAGCCAACCCAACACCACAGGAGCTGGATGACTTAATCAGCCAGCTCCCAGCACCCTTACTTCTCATGGGCGACGTCAATGCACAACACCCAGCATGGGGAAGCCCGTGCAGCGACCCCCGCGGTAACACCATCGAAGCAGCCATAAACAAACACAACCTTACAGTACTCAACACAGGCGAAGGCACCAGGCTTAACCTAAGGGGCATCGACCGAGCCATAGACCTAACGTGCTGCACAAGTTCAATCCATCACCTATTTGATTGGGCAATATCGTCAGACCCAGGGCCCAGTGACCACTACCAAATTAAACTTACACTTAGTCCGAGGTCAATTCGCCACGTTAAAACCTTTACTCCAGGTTGGAATTTAAAAAGGGCTGACTGGTCGAAATTTGAGGAAATGGTGAACCTCTCACTGGGTGACACAGATCATCCAGACATTTCAGTAATTCTAAGAGCCATCGGCTCCGCAGCACAAGCCAGTGTGCCCAAAAGTAAGCAACCACCCAAAAAGGCATCAGCGCCATGGTGGACTCCAGCCTGCAGCCAAGCAATAGCAATCAGGAAAAGAGCACTAAAACAATTTAAACGTTGCATATGCGAGGCGCACCGCCTAGCGTACAAACAAGCTGCTGCATCTTGCAAAACTATCTTTAAAACAGAGCGCACTAACTCTCATGGCAATCATTTGCATCCAAATTCAATCGCTTCACACCAACAGCAAAAATCTGGAAGCTTCTTAAAGCTTTCCACCTCAAACGCGCACCCCCAGGGCCATTCCCTTCGCTTAAAGTAAGAGGGCAGGAAATTACTGACCCAGAGCAAGTCATGATGGAATTTGCGAAACATTACCATTCAGTGTCAGCTAACAGCTCATACCCACCACAACTCAGGTCACGACTAGGAAATCTTGCCAATAGCTGCGACTTCACCTCCAACAACTACGAAATTTATAACAAACCATTTACACTACACGAGTTATCACATGCCATCAGCAAGTGCGGAAACACGTCGGTTGGGCCGGACGACATACATTACGAATTTTTCCGACGCCTCAGTAAACAATCATTAACGTACCTCTTAGCGGCCATTAATAACCTCTTCATAAACCACTCCTACCCGACCACTTGGCGGGAAAGCACTATCATACCAATTTCAAAACCAAACAAAGACAAGCAACATCCCAGTGGCTATCGCCCCATCTCACTCACTAGCTGCGCCAGTAAGGTAGTCGAGCGCATGGTCAACACACGCCTCATACACCACCTGGAAACAAATGACCTGCTCGACGAACACCAATGCGGCTTCAGGCGCGGAAAGTCAACAACAGACAACATCATTAGACTCATCTCAGACATCAGCACAGGATTTTACCGCAAACGGACAACAGTAGCAGTATTTCTAGATATCACAGCAGCTTTCGATCGAGTACAAAAACCGGCAATTATTTACAAGCTTCACCAACTAGGACTGCGCGGACATCTCGCTCACTTCATCATCAACTTTCTTGCGGACCGAACCTTCCAAGCTAGGTGCGGCACAACACTCTCACCAGCAACATCTCAGGATCAAGGTCTCCCTCAAGGTAGTGTTCTGTCACCAACGCTCTTCCTTATTATGATCAACGACATGTTCACCACAGCAAAGTACTATGTAAAATACTCACTTTTTGCGGACGACGTGGCCATTTGGGCTACACACCACGACCTCTTCAAGGTCGAAAAAGACGTCCAACTTGGCCTGAACAAAATTGCATTATGGTGCAAAGAATGGGGCTTCACCATATCAACCGAGAAGTCCGCCTCTGTAACCTTCACTAGAAACCGGAAAACCACTAACACTAGGTTAAACCTTAACGGCAAAGCAGTTAAGGAAGCCAAAGATTTCAAATTCTTAGGAGTCCGCATAGATCGAAACTTAACATTTTCTAAGCACATCAAAGACATCAAAAACAAGTGCGCAAAGCGCATGAACCTCCTCCGTGCGCTCACAGGCACAGACTGGGGCGGCGACCGAAAAACCATTTTGCAACTATACAAGGCCATCATCAGACCCATTTTAGAGTACTGCAGTATAGCTTATCACGGAAGCCTAACAGATCACCAGATAAAACAAATAGAAGCCATCCAGAACACATGTCTGCGCATTGCAACCGGGGCCATACCCAGTACACGAAACACGACACTTCTGGCCGACGTCAACATGT